AAAAAGTCTGGGGAATAGAAGCAGAAACTGGGGCATTAATCCCTCAAGGAGGTGTCCAGCTAAATATTGGTATCCAAAGAGGTGTGGAGGAAAGAGGAAAGTAAGTCACATTTGTTGAGACATTATTGATCCTTCTGTCAGCCTCTGTGAACAGTGTGCTCTGAATAAGGAAACTGACACTTAGAAAATGAAGTGACTTGCCAAGTACATATACATTAGCACCAGCATTTGAACCTGAATCTCTGATTCCAGAGTTATTGATATGGGGAGTGTGTGGAGTATATTCACTGATTTATTATCATTCACTGGGAAGCTCTACTAGATATAGCTATGGATAGGACAATCCAGGGATTGAGAATCCTCCTGGGATTCAGAATCTTTTTCTCTCAGAAGGTTTTTTTTCTCCTGTATTGGGTTTGTTTACAGAATCTTGAGCTGGGCTTTCATAGGGGTAAGGACAGGAGGGTGGCAGGGTTAAGGAGCCAGGTCTAGCCTGACTATATGGATCCCAGTTTCATCCCAGCCCACTCACCTGTCCTCAAGGAGGAACATTTTGTTTTAGGACTGGGAGGACTTTGAATACATCCCAGACAGAAACGTCAAGAAGCCAGACGACTGGAATGAGGCAATGGATGGGGAGTAGGAAGGACCTCTGATACCAAACCTGAAGTATAAGGTGAGGGCGCCTCTCCTTGCAATGGGTATGAGAAATAAGACAGAAGAGATGTAAGGTTTAATTAATAGAAAAGAAACTCTGAGATCCTGTGGTCTTCTCTCACCACGCCCCACCACCCACTGCCCATAAGACTGCAGCCTCATCTGGGCTCTCCTCTCAGGGTTGTGCCTCCCTGGGACAGGGTGGTCTGGTAAAGGTCAATGCTGGAAGGGGGAGGTCCAGGAAGCGCTAGACAAGGGGTTTGTCCAGAGTGGTAGAAAGCAGCTAAAGGAACATGGTCAAAACAGGAAATGGGTCTGGGGTCAGGAACTGGAAATCTCAGCACTGATCCTGAAAGGGAAAAGTGGGACATGAATGAACCAAAGGTGTCAGGGGTGGGGATGGGGAACTTCTCTTCAAGGGCTAACTCCTGACCTCCTATCAGAAGTGAGAAGAAACTAAAGAAATCAGCGATCAAATGGTCCAGAGATAAAACGACACCAGCATGATTTTATTTGGCCACAGTTTCCTGTGTTACATATCAGGAAGAGAATGGCCCCAAGTCCCAAAGTCCTTAAATGGTGTTCCCTGTGAAGCTACATTTTCTTAATTTCATGAAGAATTTAGGCACAGAGATGGGACCAGGCTCAGAATGGGTTTCTGTCACCTTGTTCAGCTCCCTCTAGGCAGAAAGGAGAACTTGGAGGAGTCTCATGCATTAGCTCAAAAAAAGAGAAAGAAACTACAGGAATCCTGCTCTGGTACACAACTGTCTTTATGAATTGATTAGTCTTATGGGAAAATACCGATGCCGTGTTCACTCTTTGGTTCTTTGTTTAGGGACAATGGAAACCTCAGATCATTAACAATCCCAATTACCAGGGGGAGTGGATTCATCCAGAAATAGACAAACCTAAATGTAAGCCTGACCCCACCAAGAACATCAGAGTTCTTGGCCTGGACCTTTGGCAGGTAAAGTTCTCTGGGCTCAGAGCCACTGATCAACAGTCCCTCTAAAGTTTTCATAAAGTGGAGCTGCAGGCTAGAAATCACAAGACTTGAATGAGTCTTGATATTTCTAAGCCTCAAACTGCTCATCTTTAAAATGGGACTAATTATATTTGTCCTGATAACAACAATAGCTAAAATGTACTGAGTCCCTACCATGTACCAAGTACCATATTAGAGACTTTGCAAATACTACCTGATTCTCACTATGAAATCTCCTATTTCTAAATGTGAAAACTGAGGTTCAGAAAAGATAAATAATTTGCTCAAAGACACATTTGGTGAAACGAAAAGCTGAGATTTGAGCGTAGGTCTTTCTGAGGCCAGATTCAGGCTTCCAGTACTTTATATTGCCTTCCAGTACTTTATATTGCCTTGCTGGTCCTGCATGATTCTTGGGGCTGATTTTGGGCAAAGGGAATCATCAGAGATGTGGTAAAATTTTGAAATATTAAAATCCCCAGGGGCACCTGGGTGGCTCAGTTGGTTAGGCAGCTGACTCTTGTTTTTGGCTCAGGTCATGATCTCCAGGTCCTGGAATGGAGCCCGGCTCAGGCTCCCCACTCAGTGGGGAGTCTGCTTCAGGATTTTCTCTCTCTGTCCCTCCTGCTGCTCTCTCTCTCTAAAATAAATAAAATCTTTAAATAAATAAAAAAT